TTTTTTTTTTGAAATCCTCTCCAAAACCTCACTCCTAAACCCTAAACTTAAAACCCCACATCTTATTCTAAAACTTAATGTCTAAATTAATTAACCCTAAAAATATAAGTATATATTTAATTTTTTAAATAAAATATTTAAATTTATTTTTAAAGGTTATATTTGTGACAATTTTTTTTTTAGTTCTCTCCTAGGGAATTTATCATAGTAGTATATATGCCCGAGTCATATTTTAAAACATTAATTCAAAATATATTTTTTTAAAAATATATTTTTTGAACAGTTAAAAACAATCTAAAAAGGAGAAAAAGAATAATTTAAAACAATTTGTTTGAAGGTTGATTTTTTTGGGACGAACAAGGTGAAAAACGGGGACTTTAATTTGCGCGGCGGCGGCGAATAAAAAGGCCAACCCTGCGAGTTTTTTTTTCAGTATCCCTTGGGTTTAGTCTTTTCAGTAATCTTTTTCTCCGTCTCAGTAATGACTTCCTCGAAGCGTAAGCGCACCGCCGTGGAAGATACTACCGACGGTAGCGATACCGGGAACAGTTTCTTCGATATATACGGACCTCAAGTAAACACCTTTTTCTCATGTTTTGATTGATTGATTGGTTTTATGTTGTGCGCATCTGATTTAGACTCTTCTTCTTATTGGACAGGCCAAACCAGAACTCGTTTTCAAGAGTCCGGAACCAACATTGAACTTACAAGTAAGGTTTCAGATGTCGGAACAACTATTTTAATTTGAATTCTTTTATAATAAATGTAATAATTTTGATATGGGTTTGAACAGGATGTTCAGGGACTTGTTACATGGGTTCTTTCAGAAGGCTTTATGCCCAATTGGGTATTCATCAAGGTATGTGTTAATAGTTGAGCTTGGAGATGGCATTTTATTACATGTGTAATTAGAAAGATATGCTTTTTTTTTTATTTTTATTTTGCAGAACAAGCCTCTGATTCCAAAGGTTGTCATGCTCTACCTTCCTGGATTGGATGCAGCTCTGTACTTATCACAGTCTAAAACACTTTCTAGTATGAAATCATGTTGTGGCAATCCTATTCCGCTTTTAGCTTTGAGGTTGGTTGCTTCTTATTTCTTGTAGCTTATTGATTACAAATGTTTTGTTGGTAAAAAAACATCTTTTGGTTTTCTTCTCATTGTGTTAGCTGTGTAGTTGACGGAATGAAAACGATTGATACGCTCCTTACTTGCAAGGGTAAAAAGAAGAAAAAAGTTACTCATTTAGGGGAAGCAACTCTCCTAGTATCTAAGCCAGGTTAGTGGGGATTTTTTTACATTTTTTTAATTTTATTTTTAACAATATTTCTCCTAACATAAGTGCCTTAACAAGATAACATGTTGCTCTTGTAGAAGCGTGCAATCTGGTGGGGAAATCGTTTATTGAGCTCACAAAAGATATACCATTCCCGGTTACATACTATACTCTAAGTCAAAAGGAAATGGAACAGAATGGATACAATTTTAAGACAGGTACGAGCTCTAGCTAATTTTAAATTTAACAGGTTAATCATGTTTAACCTGTTAAGCTTATGCCATTGGGTCACATCGTTTGACTATTCATGCAGAGTTTATTTCTACACTTCCTGCACCATCAGGATCATGCCCTCATGAAATTTTGGCTCTTGATTGCGAGATGGTAAACAACTATCTTCTCTACCCTTTGATGATGATACTTTGTATGATAATTTGTAAATTTGTGATTTTGTGATAACATATAAACAGTTTTTTTTAATCTTGTAAGTTATTTTTCTTTTGTTTAGCGACAGTCAGAGATGTTTTAAAGGTTTATTTCTTTTCACTTTCTTTCACCTTAGTGTACTACAAAAGATGGTTTGGAGTTGACAAGAGTGACACTAGTGGATATCCATGGGCAGGTATCTTCTTCGTTACTTTCTTAAGTTTGTTAGATTTTCTTTTTTACTGTTACTAAGTTGCCATGATAGTGCAGGTTCTATTAGATAAATTAGTCAAGCCAACAAATCATATTACGGATTACCTTACAATGTAAGCCATATTGATATACTTGGTTCGGTTTGTATCATACAAAATATATATAGCACCTGGTCTAGTAAGTCTTGAAAGGCATGCCTGAAGAACACAGTATTGGTATCCGTTTACAGGTATAGCGGAATAACAGCTGAGATGATGGAGGGTGTTACAACAACTATTAAAGATATTCAGGTTTCACAAGATCCTTTAACATATGGTTTAGGAGGTTTGGGTTGAAGAGTGGTAATTGGTTTAGTATATTAAGAACTGTTTGTTATGTTCAGGAAGAGTTCTTGAAGCTGGTTTTCAAAGAGACGGTATTAGTCGGACACTCGTTGGAAAACGACTTGTATTCTCTGAAGATTTCTCATAATCTGGTGATTGACACTGCAGTGCTATACAAGCATCCACGGTCTGGATCTTATAAACCAAAACTCCGAGTTCTATCGAAAAAGTTTCTTGCTAGAGAGATACAGATGTCTGAATCCGGACATGACAGCGTTGAGGATGCAAAGGCGGCCATGGATTTGGCACTAATGAAGATAAAATATGGTAAGAGACTCATATTCTCAACCCCCACTGTTTCAGTCATGTTCTTTTGTTTTGTATCCTTTGAAGTGATTTTCTTTTGTGTCTTCATCTAGGACCTGACTTTGGTTCACCACCGGAAATGATAAGAAAGAAGCTCCTCGACATTTTAAACGAGAGCGGGAAAACCACTTGTATTGTAGACAATATTAACATTGTAAAGAGATATGCTTCCGAGACATCAAATTCAGTTCCTGTTTCTTCTGATGACGAAGCATTTTCAAAGGCCATGAAGGAGGTAACAAAAACTTGTGAATCCATTCATGCCTTTGAAGTTGTTGCCATCTTCGTAAAAGCTAATGCATGTGTGTCTTCTAGGTAAAGAAGAGCGGGTCACAATTCGTTTGGACACAATTCTCAGAACTAAATACACATTTCAAGAGCAGAGCGGATGATCCAGAGAAACTAAATTCAAGACTAGCAGAGAAGATCTCATTACTAACATGTAGCGATGATGATTCAGGCCTCAAGAAACGCAGCAAAAGCAAGGTTTCACTTGAAACGAAGGAGATATTAAAGAAGATAGATGAAAAAGTCAATGCCCTCCACGCTGCATTACCAACAAATGCAATGTTTATAGTTTGTACCGGACATGGAGACACATCCATTGTACACAGGTTGGTATCTTACTTAGTTCAAGAAACAGATGCAGTTTCACTATAGATACAATGTGACATCGAGTTTGTGATCTTATTGGATTTCTAACTGTCTGTTTCTTGGTGGTTGGTATGAAGAGTGCGGGAAATGCTTAAAGAAGAGAGTGAAATTGCGTTTAGCCGTGAGAAAGTTGTGAAGGTTCTTGAAGAGCTTCAAGCACAAGCCGAAGTAGCGCTCTGTTTTGTTGGTATCAAACAATAACATACACTCAGCCTGTCAGCCGCCAACGTTCTCCTTTGTAGACCTTGTGAGCAGCAACCAACTGCAAAACTCGTTAGCTTCAGTTTAGTAATTTTAATTTCTTTAACATTATTGGTTTATTACTCTACAGACATTCTATTTATGGCCTCATAGAGCAATTTAAATGTTTGAAAAGTTATCCCTTCTATTATTTGAGAGATGATTTGACACATGTACAATTATTTTTCACTAAAAACATGTTATAATTGATGATATAGTTTATGGATAAATATGAATGACAATTACATTTAATATAAATTTATATTTTTGGTAGTTTTTTTTAAAATATGAAAATAACTAATACATCATCATTAAAATAAATTTATTTAAATATGATATTAAATAATATGATAAAATAAAAATAAAATCTATTTTTCATAATCATAAATTATGAAACAAGATTTTCAAAATTTTGTACATTTTAAAAAAAATTATGAACTTTTTAATCCTAACATCATTTGTTTCTTTTTGATATCTACAAATTTTAGAAATTTTGTTTACTTTATTTTATGATATTGTAAAAAATTTCTATCATTTATTTTTTTTAAATTATACAAAATGGTTTAATATATCTTAACCAAAAGAAATAATTTAAAATCAAGATAAGATTAAAATTTGATATATATATATATATATATATATATATTTTTTTTTTTTCTTAAATACAATTTAAAATAAATCTAAATGTTTATATATATCTTTTTTCTTAAATATAATTTAAAATAAATCTAAATGTTTTTTAACCTAATTTTATATTTAACTAAATTAGAATTTGTATTAACATATCAGTATAAAAATATAGAATCTAGATAATTAAGAATTTTATTTTTAAATTTAAATTATTTATTGTTGTACATTGTACAAGAAAATATCTAATTATTTGTAGTTATCAATAATTACTTTATTTATATATTAGTTTGATATATTTATGAAAAATCTATGTGAGAGATCTACGGATGCTATAAGGCTAATGAAAGTTTGTTAAATCTCATAAGACTGTACAAAGCGGCCTCACTGTATATCTCGGAGAGTCTCCGTTAGCGCCAAATTCCGCTGGTATCCTCAAGAAAACCTAGATCGAACCATCCAAACCGTTGATATCCCCCTCTCATCCTTAGCCGTTAGATTTGGTCATCAGAAAATTCAATTTTTTAAAAAAGATCCCAAGAGACGAAAGAGGAGGAGCAAGGAAGAAGCAGCTCTTAGAGCTCAAGCAGCAAAACAAAAACAAAAACAAAAAAAAATCTCTGATCCTCCGTTTGAATTTTCTTTTATTAAACTCCCAATGGAGAATTCCGATCATGATCTGAGTTCTAACCGTAATTCATTGGCGCGTCAACTGGATTTCTCCGTCCCGGCTGCGGCGGCGGAGGATGTGGAAACGAAGATGATGGATGAAACTGAGAAGAAGCAGTCGCAGTCTCTTCTCGATTCGGAGTCGTCTCGGGAAGATCAAAGAGATGAAGACTTGCCTTCGCAGCCTCAAGCTTCCGAGGAGCAAGGGGTAGTAAAGTCTCTGAATCAGCCACCGCGTTCTCCGGTTAGATCTTGGCAGTTATCAGTGACGGAAGATGTCACGCCGCCACAGAGACCTCCGGTTCATCGGTTTGGTCATCCATTGGGGACGTGTCGTGTGAGGTAACAAACTCTTTGATTAATAGTTTTTTTTTCAAATTTTTGATTTGGAGATATTTGTGCGATGGAGTTAAGTTAGGGTTTTTTTTTATTGTGTATGCAGCAAGAAAGAGCCTTTGACACCACGTGGGAAACAGACGGAAGCTGAGTCTAAAGATGATACTCCTAATAAACAGAAGCATTGCAACTGTAAAAATTCTAGATGCTTGAAGCTGTAAGTGTGCTTCTTTGTCTTATAAAAAGCATTGTAATTTGATGATGTCTCAATAGACTTAATGACGTGGACCATAGTTTTTTCTTTTTTTTTGAAAATTTTGAATTTTTGATGTAATTGTGTATAGGTACTGTGAGTGCTTTGCGTCGGGATCGTATTGCAATGGTTGCAACTGTACGAATTGTCAAAACAATTTGGAGAATGAGACCGCTAGACAAGAAGCCATCGCGGGGACTTTAGAGCGTAATCCTAATGCCTTCAAGCCTAAGATTGCTGGTAGTCCTCATGGAATTAATGATTTCCAGGTGTGTGTTCCTGTTACTTAACTAATACGTTAAAACACTTAATTTTTGTCTTCAAATTTTATACTTTTGACTACAATTAGTTAGGAGATGGACACCAAAACAAGTATGCTAGGCCTTGATATAATGATTTTTGTGTTTCTGTCTCTGCAACGTTGTTTTCCCAAGTTATAAATGTTTTTATTCACTGGTTTAGCCTTTAAGCCAAATAAACAAAAATGTGAGAAGATTTTTTTTTTTTTTGCTTATTCATTTGCTGATAGTTTTTTTTTTGTATATCACAAATTGGCTTGTAGGAGGATGTGCGGCAACTCCTGATTCTGGGAAAACACAGCAAAGGATGCCACTGCAAGAAATCAGGATGTCTCAAGAAGTACTGCGAGTGTTACCAGGCTAATGTCTTATGTTCAGAGAATTGTAGATGTCAAGATTGCAAGAACTTTGAAGGAAGCGAAGAAAGACGCGCCCTTCTTCATGGATCGCAGCATGTCTCAGAAACCTACATACAACAGACGACCAATGCGGCTCTCAACCGCGCCACGTTTGGATATCTGAACACTCCTGAATCAAGAAAGAGAAAAAGCAAGAACGCTTCACCTGCGGTAAGTTTACAAGTTATACTATCCTTTGTGTTAAATGTGATGATTACATGTTGATCTCATGCACTTTTGGGTTCACTTCTTGAATTGAAAGCATATTTCTTTGTGTTTTTATTATTCCAACTAGGTAAATCACGTTATAAGGAATGGTGACACTTCTCTGTTTTCAATCCCTAACAACAAAGTTGTACCGGGAACTCCCACATGTACTTACAGGTTAGCGATATCAACTCCTTCCTTTGTATGATATCCTGCACGTTACCGTGATACCATCTTAAGGATTTATCTGACTGTTTACTTCTGTAGGTCTTCTCTGTCAAATACTATCCAGCCGCGTCATGTCAAAGACTTATGTACGCTTTTGGTCACCAAATCGGTAGAAGTAGCAAATAAATATGCAGGTACATATATCATGTTGTTAGATATAGAGGAGGATATATTCCTCATACAATAAGCTATCTATTAAGAGAATTTCTAATATGGAAACAGACAAAAGGAGGAAACATGAGAAAGACCTTTCACTTGATCCAGCCCAGAGAGATGCTAATGAGAACAATGACTCTCCAGATTGTGTCCTTGATTCTACTAGAATGGACGAGAAGCCTTTATCTCCGGCAACGCGTGCATTGATGTGTGATGATGAACATGTGATCGCATCAGAGAAAGAGACATCTGCCGGGGTGAAAACAAGCCAAGAGAAAGAAGACGCAGTAGACACAAACTCGGAGATATACTTAGAGAAAGAAAGACAGATCTTGTCGAGCTTCAGGGACTTTCTCATTCAGCTTTCAACCCGTGGGAGCATAAAAGGTAAGCTGATTATCGCTTGAGAAACTGTTTCCTTGTTAAAAAATAACCATGAGCTTGGAGATATGTGCTAAACTTTAAGACATTGACAGGAACAAATAGCAAAACCAACACAAATCCAAGTAGAAAGGAACCACAAGATGAAGAAGAGCAAGGCCATCGAGACTGAAGTTTGCGGTAACCCTTAGGAACATCTAATTCTTTTTAACATATGTTCCTGTCACAACTGTTTTAAAGTTTATATAGGAAGATCAGATTAGATTAACAATTATTCATTCATTGGTGAGAAGATTTTGAGTAACTAGTGTTTACTTAAAAGAAAAATGTTAAATTGCTTGTTACAAGTTAAACCTCTTAAACAAGTAGACATCACTTCTTAAAACCTGTTGACCTCATACGTATCAGCACAGTAAACCATGTTCGAGAAGAAACATCTCTTTTGCAGCCATACATATGAATCGTTAATAATGTATACATTTTCCCAAATCATTTTTCATTACATATCCAAAGGAAACGAGTTATAACCCGATGAAAGAAGGAAAGGAAAGCAAGAGTGTGGATCATCCTTTCTTAGGCATAGCGGCGAGGCGTGTGTACATCCGTGCCATTGAATTGAATCCTCTCACATCTCCAGATCTTAGAAGGTTACCTTCATTATCAGCAACCCCAAACAAAAGAAGATCAAATCAGATTCTTGCATGATACAACAATTGCAATAGCATAAACACTAAACATAACTTATACCTGAGTCACAGTTGAGAGGACTGTCCGCCTCAGGATGAGCCATCAATGCTATGATCGCTCTACACACAGACTGAAGCGTCCACGCAGGACTCCACGCGTTCTTCAATATATCAAGACATATCTCCCCTGTCTAAAGAACAAAAATATACATTACAAAACACTCTTTGAGATTTATTCACATCATTAATGTTTTGCTTTACCTTGAAATGCACATTGGGATGGAATATCTTGGTCAAGAACCGAACTTGAGGAGGTTGCAGAGGATACGGTTCAGGAACAGCGAATGCAAGCTGAAAAACTCCGCCTTCATAAGGAGTCTCCGATGGTCCCTAAAAAAAATACAAAAAAGATGAGTTAAAAGACAAACCAAAGCTTTCATCTTTTAAAACCTAAAAAGGGAAAGTTACCTTGATAAGTGCAGTCCATTTGAAAATGTTGGAATCATCACACACCAATTGAATATCAGGATCAGCTACTTTCTCTCTCTGAACCTCTTTGTATTCCTTGAACAGTCTCGCTCGTGATTGCTATTAACATTAATTAAACCCCAGATTTCAGACACTACTATCACGAATCCGATATATACTAGTATACTTCCCAACACGACAGAGATTGGTAATAGAGATAAGGATTAAAAGGTGAAACCTGCATGTCTGAATGATGCTAGTGAGACTCAATTTACCCAAAGAAGACGATCACACCACCTGCAAAATTAAACTAATTCTTTCAACAAGATGAGATTTTTAACAAAACCCAACACACGAAATCACTTCACCGGGATCGATTAGACTCAGATCTGTATAACCCTAATGTAAAGTATCAATCTTTACACTTTGAGATCGGCACAAATCATCAGCAAATGGAGAAAATTCGATGGCCATAAGGAGCGCGAATCGCGAAATCAAGGAGAATCAATGAAGCTTTTACCTTCAAGAGAGAGAGAGAGAGAGAGAGAAACGAGGACGAAGAACAAACAAACGGCGATAAGATGAAAACCTTCACGGCGTGAACCTTCTATGTTTTTGTCCGAAAAAAGAATAAACCGGTTTACTTATACTTACTTTTTTTTTTAAATTCCGGTATAAATTAAACAATCAATTTCGATTTCAATTTCACAAACCGAACTAAACCGGTTATCGTTCTTTTAATAAGCCCTAGCTTTACACCTTCTTGTGTCTCTCCTCCTCTTTCCGTCTCTCCTTATTCNGAACCTTCTATGTTTTTGTCCGAAAAAAGAATAAACCGGTTTACTTATACTTACTTTTTTTTTTAAATTCCGGTATAAATTAAACAATCAATTTCGATTTCAATTTCACAAACCGAACTAAACCGGTTATCGTTCTTTTAATAAGCCCTAGCTTTACACCTTCTTGTGTCTCTCCTCCTCTTTCCGTCTCTCCTTATTCCTCAGCTCATCAGCAAAGAGAGACAAGAGAGATACGATAATGACGACCACCTACGATTTCGAAGACACACCGTCGAACTACGACGATGTCCAGCGTCAGGGCGGCCAAGACGCCGTCTACGACCCAAACTTCGTTCCAGATTCAGTCAAATCCTTCGTGGTTCACATTTACAGACACATCAGGGAGAAGAACGTCTACGAGATCCACCAGATGTGCGAGGCATCTTTCCAGACCCTGTCGGAACGTCTCTTCAAGGACACGCCTTGGCCTTCTGTCGAAGCCATAGCTCCTTATGTGGACAATGACCATGTGTTCTGTCTTCTTTACCGTGAGATGTGGTTCCGACACTTGTACGCGAGGTTGTCTCCTACGTTGAAGCAGAGGATTGACTCTTATGATAACTATTGCAGCCTCTTTCAGGTCTTGTTTTCTCTCATATTTATTTAGGTTTAGATTTGTCTCAATAGAACTAGGGTTTGGCCCTGTGATTAGGTTTAGTTAGTCATATAATTGTTGTTGAGTTTATTAGTTTCTCCCAACGAGAATTGAACCCGAGTGGGCAGAGTGGCTACTAGACACTCCTTTACCACTGGGCTAATTTATTATTGTTATGCTTACTGTTGTGTGTTATGAATGTGTAGGTGGTGTTGCACGGTGTAGTGAATATGCAACTACCGAACCAGTGGTTGTGGGATATGGTTGATGAGTTTGTCTACCAGTTCCAAAGCTTCTGTCAATACAGAGCCAAGATGAAGAACAAAACCGAGCAAGAGATTGCATTGCTGAAACAGAATGACAAGGTAATTTTTTTTTTGTTAATTTTCTCTTTCTCATAAGGTTTATCTGACTTGCAACATTATCTTAGGCATGGAATGTGTATGGTGTGCTCAACTTCTTGCAAGCGCTTGTGGAGAAGTCCACCATCATTCAGATTCTTGAGCAAGAGAAGGAAGGGCTTGAGCAGTTCACTGCTACTGACGGGTATGACTACAGTGGTGGAAGCAATGTGTTGAAGGTCCTTGGTTACTTCAGCATGGTTGGTTTGTTGCGTGTTCATTGCCTCCTGGGAGATTACCATACTGGTCTCAAGTGGTTGCAGCCCATTGACATCACTCAGCAAGGTGTTTACACCAGTGTCATTGGTTGCCATATCGCAACTATTTATCACTATGGATTCGCCAACCTTATGCTGCGAAGGTATGTTGATGCGGTTCGTGAGTTCAACAAGATCCTCCTCTACATTTACAAGACGAAGCAGTACCATCAAAAATCACCTCAGTATGAGCAGTTACTGAAGAAGAATGAGCAGATGTATGCTTTGCTTGCGGTTTCGCTCTCCCTCTGCCCACAAACAAAGCTTGTTGACGAGTCTGTCAACTCTCAGTTGCGTGAGAAGTATGGTGAAAAGATGATGAGGATGCAGAGGTACGACGATGAAGCCTTTGGTATCTATGACGAGCTCTTCTCTTATGCATGTCCCAAGTTCATCACCCCTTCTGCACCAAGTTTTGAGGAGCCTCTTGTCAATTACAATCAGGTACTAAACTGGACTTTAACGATTGTTGAAGAAGACTTGTGTGTTTAACAGGGTGTGTCATCTCGCAGGATGCATACAGGCTTCAGTTGAAGATGTTCCTTTATGAGGTGAAGCAGCAGCAGCTCTTGTCAGGTGTGAGGACGTTCCTAAAAGTTTACTCCTCCATTTCTATTGCTAAGCTCTCAAACTACATGGAAGTTGATGAACCAACTCTAAGGTGAGGAACCATGTGTAGATAGATAGCTTTAAACTAAAAGTGTCTCAGCAATGTAACATGTGCCAATTTTGTCGTGCAGGACCATATTGTTAACATACAAGCACAAGACTCATTCAGTTGGTTCTGATGGGAAGATCATCTCCAATGCAGACATTGATTTCTACATCAACAATGTATGTTTGTTCCTACTTTTCCTCAAATCTTAGTTTCATCGGTGCTTTTAGACTTAGTAGTAACATTAAATTGGTGTAAAAAACCGCAGGATATGATCTACGTTGTGGAATCAAAACCTGCAAAGCGTTATGGTGATTTCTTCTTGCGGCAGATTGCTAAGGTAACAAACTGAATCTAAGATCTATGCACAGGTCACACGCATACATAGCTGATATGATAAGAATGAAATGTGTTTTTGTTATCATTGTGCAGCTTGAAGGTGTGATAAACGACATGGACCGCATCAAGCTGGAATGAGGAATTGTCTGTGTTACCTTCAGCACTCTTTATTTAGTGAAATGGTGTTTTGGTGTTATCGTTATCTTTTTATGAAATACTTTTTTTTTTCCATTGAGTTCACTGTAAGAACATCTATTGCTTACTAGGATTTGGACCTCCTTTGGAATAATTTCACAAGCAAGATCTTCTTTGATACAACTCATTCCTTTTAAGATGTTACAAGTTTTCTTTTCTTGCTGCTTCTAATCATATATGAGGAACATATGTTTAAGTAAGAGTTGCGTCTCAGCAAAGATTGAGAGCTCCAAGTTAGAAAAATGAAGAAGAAAGCATGGAGTCCTCTGAAATAATCTAAAAGTTTTGATTCGGCCTCGGATTGAAGCTACTCTTTGGAGGTTTATGCATACAATTTCAATGTCCAGACTATTCAAGGCTAGCTATTTGTTATGCAAGTAAGACACTGGACGAGGGAAAAGTGAACTTCACAACAACAGAGAATCAACTAAAAGATAAAAGTTATCCTTCTAAGTATAATTTCAACATACATCTATTAGTTCAAATCTACACTGACAATGCACCACTTTAAGTACCTTTAAGACAAAACAAGATGTGATGTGAGATCATAATAAAACATGTTTTATAGTTTGGGATATTCGATAGAGGCAGCATAGAATATTCAATACAATCACACATTGTTTTGTCAGTCATATTGCTTACGAAATGGAAAAGGGTTTAATCTCTTTATCCACATGACCAAGATGATCTACTCTTGACTATACCTCTTCTTACAACTGATAATTCTGGCTATCTCTTTAATCTCTTTTTTAGCTTCACATTAAATTGCAGTTCTTAGTTTTAACTAGAGCATACCTAGTGAATCTTAAATAAGTTCGGCACATTAGGGTAGATATCACCAAGCGGGGATAGCTCAG